TGCTTTTGCACGGATTCTATTTTATCTGAGTATATCGCATATTGAGGATCAACAACAACAGAACCGTATTCTAATATAGGTCTAACAAGAGACGTAAATAACTGTTTTGTTTTATATGGATCAGAAAATTCTTTGGCCCACCGTTTAACAAAACCTAAAACACCATTTGCTTTATTTACCATTGTTATTACATGGCTATTAAAATTTAATTTTGGATCCATCAAGAGGCCTAGATCGACAAATGAATCTACAGTTGATAATGAATGACCGTCAATATTATATTGCAATATCAGAGAAGAAGATCTGGAGAAGCACATATGCTTCCATTTGCTTAAATTTAACCTGCATCATTGAAAAAGGCTATCTAAATCGTTTTGAAGTAAACTAGATTGTTTATCACAATTATGGGAAATGAATAATTTAATATCATCTGCGTACATTAACAATTTCGAGTAATTTATGGAAGTAGGTAAATCGTTGATAAATAAAAGAAAGAGGATCGGTCCAAGGTGACTTCCTTGAGGAACACCCGATGGATCCCAAATCGTTTTGGATAGATACCCTTCAAACAAAACAAGTTGTGATCTATCTTGTAAGTGATCTATCATTTGACTAAGTTTGTGTTGAAACCCTATAATTTAATTTATATATTAGGAGTTCATGTTTAACCCTATCAAAAGCTTTACCAAAATCAGTATAAACTGCATCAGTTTGTTTACGCTGAACAAATCCTTTTATTACTGTTGACGTACATTGTATAAGATTTGTTACTGTTGAAAGACCACTACGAAAACCATGCTGATATGGACTCAATATAGATTGAATTTTCAGTGAAATTACTGCAGTACTTAATTTTTCGAACAATTTTGGAATGTCACTTAATTTTGCAATTCCTCTATAACTTAACACATTAGTAAGACTACCAGACTTATGTAAAGGTATAATATAAGATTTTTTCCAGAAAGTAGGAAAGTGACCAAATTTAAGTGAATAATTAAACAATATATTTAAAGGAAGTGCTAAGGTTTCTGAACAATATTTAAGAATTATATTAGGTATGCCATCCGGTCCTGGAAATTTAATCGATTTTAAACTACGCAGACTATTTGACACCTCCTGACGTTGTAGAAAAGGCATACAAATTTGAGCAGCCTGTGATAACTTATAAGGATACGAATCTTTAATTTGACAAGATGTACTGGAATAGGTTGTGGCAAAAAATCTGCGAAACGTTCAGCAATATCTGTGCCTGTGACAAATTCTTTATTGTTGTATTTCAATGCTGAGGGCTTTGAGGAAACTTTTCGTTTTAGATTAACAAAATTATAAGAAGATTTAGGATTGGATTTAAAATTATTTTTAATCTTGTCTAGGTAAAGGTTACACAATCTACGAGACTCTAAAGAATATTTAGATCTAGCGACAGAGTAATTAGTATAGTCTATTGTTAAGCCTGATTTTGTATATTTACGAAAAAGCTTATTTTTAAAATTTTTTAAACTTGATAACTCAGGGGTTATCCATGGATATTTATTTGAATTTTTAACTCTAGTGTTTGGAACACATTCCAGTTTAAATCTATTTAAAATATCATAAAATTTATCAATTACATATTCTAGATCTTTATGGCTGTTACACAGACACACAGAAGCCCAATTTACGTAGGAAATGAGGGTGTTAAGTTTTCGAAAATTAGTTTTTTGTAATTAAGGACAGTTTTAAATAAGTCGGACTGACTTTCTTCGATTACATAAATGTGAGTCATGAAGATATATAAAGTTGGATGGTATATATCTTCAGGAGCGCATATTGGAGGAATTCTGAATATATCAAAATGCTGTGTTATATTTATATAAGCCAAATCAAGAATTTTGCCGTGGGAAATTTTCACACTGTTTATTTGATAAAGATTTAAGTCACACAAACTATTTATAACATCAAATGTATACTGGGTACTGTTCATTTCGGATGGCAAAGGAATCAAAGAATCTGGCATTGGAAGCCACCTAATGGAAGGCATATTAAAATCACCAAGGATCAGGATGCGATCGGAATCTTTCATTTTTTCAGTGATAAAATTGATTATAAATGTCAAGTGAATATGAAGGTGGAATATAAGAGCAAGTTACAAACAATTTAGATTTTCCCAATTCAATGGAAACACCAACGAATTCTATATCAAGAAAATCATTCAGATCAATTAAATTAGTGGTATATTTGGACGCCACCACCTTTTTTACAAGCACGATCTTTTCTAAACATTTGATATTTTGAACATAAAATTTCACTATTTAATATAGATGTTTTTAACCGAGTTTCGGAGAAAACCAATACATTATAATTGAAACCAATGCTATCAGTATATAAACTGGTTAATTTTGTATTATGCCCCCTTACATTCTGATAACAAATAGAAAATGAGTCATTTAGTTTTTTGGCACCGAACCTGGTCTAAGAGGCAAATGAGCTAAATTATCGGATCTCTCCAGAAATTCTTTAATAAATGCACTAGCAGGCCAAAATTCTTTTAAAATCAACTGTACAAAAATATTTTCAGGCACAACGATTTTGAAAGAAGATCTACTTTCAGAAAATGCAGATCGGAGCTTATAACATCTCAAAAAGTAATCTCTCTCAATTTTTGATTTTATATAATAGTTTATGTCATCGGCCGTTGTTTCTGGTGCAAACCTTGTTACAAATATCATTTTCATGGCGGGAGCCATAGATAATGATCTTTGGACAGGTTGAGTTTTGCCAGTAGCAGTCTCGGGACGATCGCTAGTGATAAGTAAAGGAAGCGATAATACCTGTATGTCACGAGTAGATTGTGAGGTTTTCTTAGAAACCTCACTATCAATACTCATAACATCTGGATTATTTACCCCTTTACTTATACCGCTTTTAACTACCGGAACTGGGCGTGTTACAACACTGGCATACGACTGTTCACATCCAGTCTCAGTTGTATCAGTGATATTAACTGAACCCGTTTGTGGAACACTGTTCTCCACAGAAACTATTGCTTTGCGACTAGGCAATCCCTTAGTTGGTGCCTTTTTCGCAGCCCTTTTGCGTTTCTGGCCAAAAACTGACGGTGACGACACAAACTCATCTAATTCTTCGTATTTCTCAATTCTGGGTATTTCTCAAACAATGTACAAAATTGTAAAAGTATGCAGAGAGTTTCCTACATTGCACACAACACCAACGAATACCAACATTATTTCTAATTGTGTCTACGACTTTTGCATTAATCCTAGCAAATTTTGCATGCCATTGATTAAGACAAAACCAACAGGCAACACACAATTCATCCTCTGCAACAATATTACACAATTCAAAAGGGCACGACATTTTATTTATTTTAATTATAATTATTTCTTTTTTTAACACAAGTTAAAACTATATTTTTCAAGATTAGATCTGTAGCTGGAATTTTTTTTTATTTATTTTATTATTTTTTTTTTAATTTTGGCAACTCTTATGAGATGACAAACAAAACAAAGTGATATGTTACAACAACTAATTAGCTAATGTAACTAAAGAAACAGGATAAAAGGGAGAATGTAAATCTACACAATTTGAAAATTGATATTACTTTAAAACACAAAACAAGATTTTAAAACACTGCACCAATTATCACTTTGAAAACCCAAAAATTGAGCTGAGTTTTCAAATGGGGCTATTATAGATGTTCTATATCATATAGTTTTTTATACCCTCCACCTTGGAAAGGAGGGTATATTAACTTCGTCATTCCGTTTGTAACATCCTTAAATATTCGTCTTAGACCCCATAAAGTATATATATATTCATAATCAGCATAAAATTCTAAGTCGATTTAAAGATGTCCGTCTGTCTGTCTGTCTGTTGAAATCACGATACAACCTACATTATTTGACGTAGAGCGCCAAAATTTAGCAGAGCAATTTGCATTATGTCTAGGATGGTTGGTATTGAAAATGAGATATATCGGTCCACGTTCTGGTATAGTCCCCATATAACGGTACCTCCCGATATTCGGTATTTTGATGATTTATGCCACATTTTTCACGGATTTCTCTGAAAATTGGTATTTGTAGGTCATAACGGGTTCCAGCTCCGGTGGCGAAACATTTCATGCATGGGTCCACGTTGTGGTATAGCCTCCATACAAAGGTACCACCCGATATTCGGTAATTTGATGATTTTTGCCACATTTTTTCACTGATTTGTTTAAAAATTGGTATTTGTAGGTCATAACGGGTCCTAGTTCGTGCGGCGAAACATTTTTATTATAGGTCCACGTTTTGGTATAGTCCCCATATAACGGTACCTCCCGATATTCGGTAATTTGATGATTTTTGCCACATTTTTTCACGGTTTTGTCTGAAATTTGGTATTTGTTGGTCATAATGGTTTCCAGCTCCGGTGGCGAAACATTATATGTATGGGTCCATGATTTGGTGTAGCCCCCATATAACGGTACCTCCCGATATTCGGTATTTTGATGGTTTTAGCCACATTTTTTCATTGATTTGTCTAAAAATAGGTATTTGTGTTTGTCATAATGGGTCCTAGTTCGAGTGGCGAAAAATTGTAATTATAGGTCCACGTTTTGGTGTAGCCCTTATATAACGGTACTTCCCAATATTCGGCATTTTAATGGTTTTTGCCATATTTCTTCTAATGTTTCTTTTACCCTAAGGTGAAGGGTATTAAAAGTTTGGCCCGGCCGAACTTAATGTTTTTTTACTTGTTTTTTTTTTTTTTTTCAAATTAAAGCCTATAGCTGAAAGATCAGATCAGGCTATTCAAAATATCTAAAACCAATAAACATATATTAGCATTTTTGCTATGAATATTTATTTCTATTTGAAAATACTATTTAGTCATTACTTATAATAAAAATTGTGTCGGTTAGATAATAAAAACTAAACTTTTAAATGCAAAAAAATGGGGTATGTATGTATTTTTTAATCAAAAAAAAGTCGTTTAATATTTAATAAAATACGTACCTTTATTGTAACGGTGACTTCAGAAGAACATGGTGTCAATGCGTTATCATATGCTGCTACCACAAGTTCATATTTCTTATTGTCATTCTCAATTTTCTGTCTAAGTATAATGTCGCCTGTTTTCCGATCCACTTTAAAAAGCTCACCATTTCCTCTTTTCATCTCGTACCGAACTTCTCCATTTTCATAGCTATCTAAGTCAATAGCTTTGACTTTCATTATGACAGAACCTTTCGTGTCTTCTAATGAGACTGTGGAATAATATGGCAAATTAACGAATATAGGACAGTTATCATTTGTATCCAAAATTGAAACATCAACTAAAGTGGTAGCACGGCGTAGATAGGGCTGATTGTTATTATAAAGAATAGACATAGCTTCAATTATCAAGGTATATACATCCACTGATTCTCTATCAAATATTACTCCCGTTGTTTTTATAGCACCAGAAGTTTTACCAATCTCAAAAAGATTAGTTGGGTTTAATATCTTGTACTCAACATTTTCGTCCAAAAAAGTTCCAATTGTGGTTACCACACCGACAACAACAATTTTCGAAGAATTTTCGACGGAAGAAAATTTGTACCTTTTTTTTTGAAACTGAAAGCCAGTCTCGTTAATGACCGCTGTATGTATCTCAACTTGTGAAATTGTTGAAAAAATACCATCGGATGCTCGGATATGGAGAGTATAGCACGGTACCAATGTATTAATATTCCTGTAATTAAACCCACATAAATAGAAAATATATTATTTTCAATGACAATATTGTGTACATGAGTAGAATTTTTTATTTATATACATATCTTATATAAAAATATAGACATACTTAAATACCTTAATGCTATGATATAATATGAAAGTGATACGTATTATTTTAATTAAATGTAGATTTTTTTTTTTTAAATAGGGCAATTGGTATTATGTGAAACATAACTCTACTTCCAAACTACTACTACGCAGTATCTGGCTTTCACGATCTTTGACAAGGCTGTGATCTGGCACCTGTATCCTTAAAGCATATCCCCTGCCGTAAGGTATTGACAGCTTGGGTGCCACCACCATCTGTGGATCCGGCACGCATCCTGACAATACTGGGCAAGCAAAACCCCAACCTCAGAAAAGAAAACTGGCGTCTTGTCAGTTCAAGCACTGAGGGAGGTGGCCTGGTCATCAAGGTATCTATGGATACGGATTGCCAGGAGTACCTTCAAGCTTGTGCGGGAAAATTGCATTTCGGCGCCGGTTGGATCCGTTTCCGGCTAACGCCGTTGCATTAGGAGGAAGAAAATAGCAGCTACATAGCATCATGCAGATTAATCTGCATCACTGCAAAGCTGTGCTGCTGAACTCCTCCTATCCCTCACGCTCCACCTATCCCTCCTCCCTCCTATCCCAAAGCTGAAGTAGACATAGTCCTGTTTCAGGAATCCTATATAAGTTAATTGTGATCAGAAATCTTCCTGATTTGTATTGCGGTGCTATGCACCTCTTTATTTAGAAGTAAAAGTTAATTGAAATCAGAAATCTTGTTAATTGCTTTTGCGGTGCTATGCACCTCTTTATTCAGAAGTCAGCTTAGAATTGATTTTAATTGTATCTTATAACTATAATTGAGGAGTGCTGTGGCGATCACGCCACTTGCATAAAGTGCTACGTTGGCTAAATGTTGTTCCCACCATTCAGTGGAATATGATCCTCTTGTTGAAAGTTGATTGAGTTCGCTGAACTGATTTTGTGGTGTCAGCGGAAAGTTGGAAGTGGTTTTGTGTGACACAGTGGTGTGGTTGGACTAAGGTGTTAACTCCTCCCTGCTGAAAAATCAAGCGTCCCGTTTGATTAGTAAAATGGAATATTGTAAAGACTCTTGCGGCATGGGATCCCCTGCGCTGACATCAAATTCTTGTTAGTCCCTTCATTAATTCCTGCTGTTTCAGTATTGAATTCATTCCGGACTACAATCTTGTCCGTGTTCTTGTTTCTTCTAATAGCCATCACCAATGCAACGCATATTATTATAGTCACGAGGCCAGCGTTGGTAAGTATGCTGCTTTCGAATTTAAAATTCAATCGCTCGATTCGTTGGTTGTTCCTTACATGCAATGATTTTAAAAATTCCAAAGAAACATTTTCTTCAATATCACTCCTCGTTGACACATGTTGAAGTAATAATTCGAATTCAGAGTTATTGATCTTAACAGAAACATTATGGAATCTTATCAAGTAACTACCGTTTAGTTTTTGTTCAGATTCATTTACAAAAATATTTCCAGTGAAATCGTTTAAAAATATTAGTCCAGATTCGAATTCTTCTACTTGCTTAATATGTTCAGCATTCGTAATAGAGCAGTTATGAGGAATATTTCTTATTAATTTTGGGATACAATTATTATTTGTCAAAATTTGTTAATTCGCTGGATAGGCACAGTGTGACCCCATCAATTATGTTACAATTATTTCTTATTCCAAAACTATTCTTTTCACATACAAGTATTTGCTTAAAGTCTAAATTTATAATAGTATTGCTTCTCTTAATAGGTTTTAAAATTAATTTTTTACAAACATTGCTCAAAGTTTTTGGTATTATAATTTGGTAACTAATAAATTTATCATTACACGCTATTTTGATATTAGCAAAATTCTAAGTTCATAAAAGGGATGTTATCATCGTAAAATATTTTTTCTACTTCAAGCATTTCTTCATCAGATAACATAAATGTGTTTACAATGTTTGATTTTGACAATTGTATTGCACTATTTATATTCTTAATTTTCTCTTTAATTACATCAATTTTATATTTTTGTTTAGGATTGGGGTGTTTTGCATATTTTCATTACTTTTGAGAGATTTCAAGATTTTATTATTTGTGATAGTGACATTGTTAACCTGTTCAATAAGCCTTTCGTTAATGATAATCTGATTATTATTATTTTCTATGACGTTGTTCATTTTGTCAGCCAAAATCTGGAAGTCGTCGTGGTCAGGGCTTCCGGCGAGCCATTTCCAAACAGTTCCTATTTCATTAATCGCCCTGGTATGTCTTTTAGAAAGGGTTAGCCTGTTAATTAGGGATATAATGGATCGGATGTCTTATAGGAGAAAGGGAAGAAGTGGATGGGATGGTGGGATGTTATTTCTCAGACTTGGCTTGATCTGCTCCAATGTTGTTGCATATTCATCGACGTCTATAAAGTGCAATATTCTAAAATAACCCGTTTGGATTTTCCCTATTCCACTTTCTATAAAGACGATCTCAGATTGAGAATAATCTAGGATTATTAGGATAATCTAGGATCTAATATGACTTTTATGAACTTTTTTTCCTGATTCCGTTAGAACAGTTGAGTGCATGTTCTCTTTTACTACTTCCTCCTTAAATCGTTTCGACAACTTTGTTCCTAACCTCCTGTTTTGTTTGACAAATATTTTCTGACCTTCTTTGTACTCTTTTGGCTCATTTCTACCCTGATTATGATACGCCAAATCATTTTCTTGCTTCTTTAGGAGTTTTTCGTAATTATTGAGGCGGGTTTTTTATAGTCTTCTGGCCCGAAGGTTATTGGTCTGCTAAAAAAAAGGTCTACAGGTTTCTTATTAGTTGATGAGTGTATTGTGTGGTTGTATTTGTTGACACTGATTTCTAGAAGTTCTTCAAAAGAATAATCGGGTTGTTCACATTTACTACATCTCATAATTTCTGACAATGTGGAATGGAACCTTTCTATTTGGCCATTTACTTCACTCTGATATGGTGGTGCTGTGAAGATCTCAATGCCAAGTTCGTTTTCCAACATGAACCTAATACTCTGTGAATTAAATGATCGCTCATTATCAAATACAATTAATTTAGGTACACCAAAATAAAAAACCAGTAAAGAAAGTCTTAAAGTCGGGCGGGGCCGACTTTATGATACCCTACACCACTTTGCTAATTAAGTAGAGCTCCACATAACAATTAAAAGTTTTTATGGGAGAATTCAATCATACACGCTATGATTATAATTATAATTTACAATTCAAAGACTAAATATGCCGAAGCATTTGTATCTTTTAAATTCGGAATTGTATTGCCCATTTGGTGCACAATTAACTTGAAATCGGATAAAGATATATATGGGAGCTATATCCAAATCTAAACCGATCTCGATAAAATTTGGCAAAGATATTTCTGAGCTGTATTTGATATATTTCCCTGAGTATCGTTGTTACGGAGTGCATATTACGGCTGTGGGTAACAAATATGACAAATCGGATGAACAGTATATATGTGAGCTATAGCTATATCTGAACCGATCTTCACCAAATTTGACATACTAGCTTCTAGACTCAATTCGGTCGTAAGTGCCAAATTCCATCCCATTTGGACAAATATTAGACGTTTGGTGCACAATAAACGGTAAATCGGACGAAGTTATATATGGGGGCTATATCCAAATCTGAACCGATCTCGATAAAATTTAGAAAATGTATTTCTGAGCTGTATTTGATATATTTCCCCAAATATTGTTGTTGCATAGTGCATATTACGGCGGCGGTGGACAAAAATAACAAATCGGATGAACAATATATATGGGAGCTATAGCTAAATCTGAACCGATTTCGATGAAATTTGGCATACATATTTTCAGGCCTAATTTGGGCGTATATGCAAAATTCCATACAATGTAGGCTGATATTACACGTTTGGTGCACAATAAAAGGCAAATCGGACGAAGATATATATGGGAGCTATATCTAAATTTTGACCGATTATCTCCAATTTCAATAGGGTTCGTCCTTGGGCCAAACAAAAGATCTTTGCAAAATTTCATCTGGATAGGGCAATAAATGCGACCTGTACTTTGTTTACAAAAATACATGGACAGACGAACAGACGGACGGACGGACGGACATGCATAAATCGACTCAGAATGTGATTCTATGCAGATCATCAAAAGGAACTATGGGTCTATCTCGTTTCCTTCTGCTTGTTACAAACAAATGCACAAAGACATAATACCCTGACCACCTTGTGGTGTAGGGTATAATGATTTCTCTTAATGGTTTCTTAATATCTTCGACACTTTTGCCATTCAACATTTTTGCTATTGCAAAATTTGTAAACTTATCTATTGCGGTAAAAACTCGAAACTTGTCGGTAGAGAAGATGTCAATGTGGATTGTATGCCCAGGATGCGTTGGTATAGGAGTTGCATGAAGTTTCGGAACGTTCGGATATCGTTCGTACTTATTCTCCTTGCATATTTTACAGATCTTGAGCAAATTTTTTATTTTCCTGGTCATAGAAGGTAAGTAAAAATTTTCTAGGATTTGTTTTCTATTTTCGGCATTGTTCCTATGCGCTCTATTGTGAGTTTCGATTATAATTTGCTTCTGTCTTACTTCGTCGATCACATCTTCAACCAATATGCGAGCAAATCTAATTTGAATATTTTTGAAGTAATCAGGGTACAAAACTTGAATTTTAAGCATGATCGGTTCGGTGGTTTTGATCCCATTAATGACGGTTGGATTCAAGTATTTTGTCAGTATAGTCTTTAAATCTGATTCCATTAGATTTGGTTCTTTGATCGTATGCCGATGATAGGAAGGGAACACTATCTTGAATTCATATGAGGATTCTGTGGACTCCTCGATAAGAATTTGATTTTTAAAGGTGTTTATTGGGACTTCTACTGAATAAATTAGATCTTCTGCCATCGGCGGCCTTGATAGCG